GGGCAGGGCAGGGCTGGGGAAGGGAAGGGCTGGGGATGGGCAGGGTGCCCTGGAGAGGTCTCCGGCCAGCGAGAGGCCCCCGCACACCGCCGGGATGCCCTGAGCGGGGCAGGGCTCGGCTCCTCCGAGCGAGGGCAGCAGGAGGTGTCCGTGCCCAGCCGCGGCGCTCCCGTCCCGCTGCCCCCCGCCCTGCCCCACCTGGCTGCAGCGCGGCGGGCGGAGCGGGGCGGAGCTGCCCGGCTGGCGACGGGTCCCCGGACACCCAGAGCTGCCCCGCCAGCACTGCGAGGGATGCTCGGCTTTTTCAGCAGGCGGAGGGGCGTGGAGTGTGTGCGCCTCTTCCGCCTCACATCCTTTCGGGGAAGAAAAGGCGTGAGGAGGTGATGTCTTCCGTCGACTTTAGCCGAAACGCCTCTTCCTCCGCTTTTCTGCTCAACGCACATTGTAGGACTCATTTCCAAGGAGTGTGCTGAGTATACGAAGTTTTACTTCTGCTACAGCTTCCTCCCCACATCGCTGCCTGGTTTGCGAATGAGGACGTGCAAAGAGCTAACACTGAAAGGCTGGTATTCTGCAAAGACCTCAAAAAACACACAGACACACACACACACACCAAAAAAAAAAAAAAAAAAAAATCCCGCCAAACTATGGTGTGCAGAAAAAAAGAGATAAGGCAGCAAAAGATAAGATTCCACACTGGTTTTATGAAAAATGTCCCCATTTCACTGATATTTTTTTCTGTGCTTCCAAGGGGAGAATAATGGAAATTTTCAAAACATGAAATATTTTGTAGTTCCATTGCTGCAAAGTGAGTGTATGGATTAACTTCTAAAGAAGCCATCATACCATTAGTTGAGTTTGCTTGTTAGCCAGATGTTGATATATTGGAACTGTGGTTCCACCAGTGGTTTTTGACAGGTATATTTCTTGTTTGAGTCCTGTTCCTAAGTAAATGAATGCTTGCCGTTGTTAATTCCATAAATGCTTTCTCTGCTAAGTACTATGCAATGATTCACTATACTTCTAAATAAAGTTAGTTTGATAACAGCAGGGAAAAAAATTATTCAGTCAGGAATTCTTTTATTTGCATATCACCCTTTTAATCTCCAGACATTTCCTTGGTGACAACTACATTTTGGGTTTTTTACCCAGGGCAACTGCTAATGCAAAAGTTCCCGATTTCAAGAGGAGGGGACAGTTTGGAGGTAAAACGAGCAAGTTACAATTAAAAGAAGGGAGGGATTATACAGAGCTGGCTTTATTGCATATTTTCATTGCAGAGGTGAAGAAACTTCACTTTTACTGTTTTACTGTCTCATCTCATGTGTTTTCCTCATCACAGAACGAAGCACTATCTATAACAATTAGACTCTGCATAATGTAAATCAGCACAGTTCCAATGAAGGTAAGCTAAGGATCTAACTAACTGTAACTGCTTTAAAAATGTGTAGAAGATACTTTGCAGTGCTTTTGGTCTTATGACTTAGTACCTGATCTTAAAACCTAAAAGAAAGCTGATATCATAAAGATGATAATGATTTTATATGATACTCTGAAAACTATTTAGCAGCCAGCAAATAAAATGGTAAAGTAAAATGTCATCAGCTTTTTGCTTTCATAGACAGTCTTCATAGTGACAGTTTGGAAACTTCTTTTTTTGACTCAGTCTTTTACAGCAATATTTTCCATGAGCTTTTCTCACATTTATTTGCTTTCATATTCTTTTAAAATATTCTCAAGTTTTTGAACTTTAATCTGCATTGCAGAATGTGCTCTGTTCAATTGATCCTTTCAACTAATGTCATAACTAGCTGTGTGGTACATGAACATATGTGAAAGGAGAATAAACCTTACACTTTTTAGTCTCAAACTAATACAATTTTAATGGATAAGTTATAGTCTGGTAATAGATATGTAACTTGACTAAAAATAGCTACTGTTTAGATTTTAATTTTGAAAATGTCACTATGAACATGAAAGTTTGCACTAAGATTGGAAAGCAGATTTTTGAATGAAGCTCTGACAACCTGACCAGTTGAGAATCAGTTAAAGAAAACCAGTTATTTCACACAGTTTTTCACATCTTCCTTTCCATTCAACATAAACTATATAGAGGTGCTAACTTAAAAACTGAAACTATTTCCATCATAAATTGCAACACATCCAGCTCAGGTAACCACAGTTTAAACCCATTTGCTTTTATGTGGCAATAGTTCTTCTTAAGCTACATCTATTATCTCTATACACAAGTTATATTAATTCTTAGCACATGTTAAGTCATGTTCAGTAGTTTTTCAGCATTATCTTCCTCTGATGTCAAAAAAGCAGGTTACAAACTGATCATGTTAGAGCCTCATACATTTCTCAGAAATTTTAAAATACAGAAGTTGGACACTTTCAAACATTCCTCCACATCACAGCATCACAGGATAATTTAGGTTGGAGGGACCTCTGGGAGTCCTCAGGTGCAGCCCCTCTTCAGGGTGCAAACAATGAGCCCTGAACATTAACAAGGATGGGGATTCCACAACTTCTGGGCACCTGTTCCAGTTTTGGAACATGCATATGGTGAATTTTTTTTCCTAGTATGTAATATAAATTTCCTATGTTCTAATTAGTCCCAGTTACTTTTTTGTCCCATCTCTGGGCTTATTTGAGAAGAGTCTGGTTCCATTCATTCTCTCTGTCTTTTCATTAGATTATTGTAGGCAGAAACAGGGCCTCATGTCCTCTCCCTGTATGATTTGTGCTCTTCGTGGTCTTCCCCTGGACTTCAGTATATCAGTACCTCCTCACTTGTACTGAAGAGTCCAAAACTTGACATAGTGCCCCAGGGATGGTCCCACAAATGCTGCATCCAGGGGAATAATCACTTTCCACAAGTACATTCTCATTAGTAAGGTGCAGACTGCCGTTGGTCACCCGAGTCACAAGGACACACTGATGAATTGTGTTCACTTTAGTGTCAACCAGGACATCCAGTCTATTTCTGCAAAGCTATTTTGCATTAAATTGACCTCCAGGCTGCGTTGCTGAATGGATTTATTCCATCTCAGATACAGCACCTAGCACATGCCTTGGATTGAACATTGAGGGTTTCCCATCAGTCCATTTCTTCAGCCAATTTCTGTCCAAAAGAGCAGCCCTGTGCTCCAGTGGGTCACCTATCCCTCCCCAGTTTGATTTTGTCTGAAAATTCGTTCGTTGTGCAGTCTGTCCCATTGTCAAGGTCATCAGTAAGGATGCTAAACATTCTTGGTACCGATATCACTCCCTGAGGGATGCCTCTAGCAATTAGCTGTGAGCTGAGGTTTGTATGCTGCTCACAACCTCTTATTCCCACAGGTCCCACTGTTTTTCTGATCACTTTTTTGGATCTGCCTGTCTAGCAGAGATTGTGTCAAGGACCTTGCTCACCACAAGATATACAGTATCCAGTGTCTTCCCACTGTCTGAAACACAGCTGGATATGCATGATTTGTGTCTAAAACAACAGCTGTAGTTTTTCAACCCTTTAAAGAGTAAGGAACATTCAATTTAATATAAGGTACATTCAATTTATTATACTATCAATTTTACACATCATCTTTCAAACAGGCCTTATCCAATGCTCTAAGATATTAATGTTGCATAACAAATAACAGCTTTCTACGAAAACTCTCAAAAACTTCTAAAACCTTCCTTTAAGTGGTAAGTCTCTTGGGCTTCACAACCATATGAGCTGTAGGAACATCGAATCTCAACCCTAAAGGATTTCTAGCTGGTCAGAATCTCTGAGTGCCTGCTCACCCACGGGAGGGCAGGATGACTCTGCTCTATTAGGAAGTGAAAGCAAATCTGCTCTCCAGAGTCCCTTGAGGTGCCAAAACCACAGAAGCATGGGGGAGAAACTAAAGAAGGTTAAAACTCTTTGTGGACAATATAATTCAGCTACAAAATTGCCTTGGTGCTGTTTAGTTTAAGCTTAAAACATCCAAACTGAATCTTCTATAAGATTTCTATGTTTATTCCTATGTTATTCTTTCTATGTTTATTTATTTCTATGTTGAAAGAATACTTTCTGGGGGGAGGAGGGGGCTAAGGCAGACTATAATTCTGTTATTCCATGAAGGCGGACTTGTGAGTACAAAAGGCCAATTTTAATTTTTAAAAAAATGTTTTTGAAAATCTAGGTTGTTTGTAAGTTGCATATCAAACAATGATTGAGGATGGAAGACACTGCTGGAAGTTATCTAGTCAATCCTCCTGCTCAAGATTGGCCAGAATCAGCCTGGAGGCTTTTTAGTATCTCCAAGGCTGAAGACTGACAACTTCCCTGGGCAACCTGTGCCAGTGCTGGGTAATCTTCACCATAAAAAAAAAAAAAAAAGCCTTTCTGATGTTCAGAGGGAATCTCTTGTTTTTAGGTTTTCACCAATTGCCTCTGGTCCTGTCACTGGGCATCACTGACATGAGCCTGACTCCCTCTTCTTTATACCTTCCCTTCAGGTGAGGGACTTCACCAGGCTAAAGAGTCCCAGCTCTCTCTTCTTCTCTTTATAGGAAAGATGCTCCAATCCTTTCACCAACCTCATGGCCCTTTGCTGTACTCACTCCACCAGCCCAGGACTCAAACAGTATTAAAAACTAATTCTGTGATAATCTTGGAAGTGAATATTCTGTCTTACTCAACAGCTTATATGAAAAATCTTCATAGTTTATAGCAATAGGCTTTCCTGCTTTTACACATGCCTTAGTGTTGGTATGCTCCCTGTGGGAAGAAATGGTACTGTAGGAATAAACCAAGTCACACTGGCATGAATCCATCTTGTGGGGCCTCCACAGAAACAGTAAGGTTTATCCAGAGGTACCTTTAGGAACAGGACTCAACACTGCACACAATCTGAGGTAATTACAAAATGCAACATTTGATGCTTTATAGTTGTGGTGAAGTGAGCAATGAGTGAATGAGCACTTGAAAATACAACTCATAAGTGAAAAACTGTCTAGTTTGCCATATGTCTTTTAATTGAATGCTGAAAAATATACATACATACATTTTATGCACATTTTTTTCCATTCCAAATAGCTATCCATAAGTCTGAAGATCCATATTCAATAAAAACTTACAGTAAAATGAAAGAACTTGCCTGTTTGTATTCCTGGAGTTGGTAACAATGAGTATTCTGCATCTAATTTTCACTTTTTAAGTCTATTCTGTAGCAGGTCTAAAGCTGAAAACTAAGCCTTCTCTCACAGTAATAATTTTCTGGGTTTAAAAATCGAAAAATATTAAAGTTTGCAGAGATACCCATAGAAGGATATATCTTGTTCCTGTTCCCCTGAACTAGAAGGAGTTTTGGTTCTGACCTTTGCATTTAAGGTTATTTCATATCAGAAAGTATAACTACACATGAGGCCAAAGCATGGAAAAAAGGTGGATAACCCTTGTTATAAAAAAGTAGTCTATTTTTTCAGTAGCTTAAAGGAATGCTGTCAGTGTATCAAAAGATCATTCTAAATTTTAATATGTTATTTCTATCTGGAGATAATAATTACAGTAACAGCATGATTATTGTACTTGAAAAACATCAAATTTCCCATTTGTGTGACATTCATTTTAATATTTTAATAGATATATACAATATTTTAATGTGCATATAAAATTCTTTTATATGTATCAGTGCATTTATTTCCCTTAACAATGCATGTAATATATATATATGTATATATCAATGCATTTATTTCCTGTAACAATGCATATTTTATTTTTACATATAGATATATAAGTGTATTTCTTTCCCTTAACACCATATTCACATCAGTCTCAAAAGACCCTTTAGTGAGGCAGCCATACTAAGGAAAAATAAAATTTCATCTTGTGAGTATCACTATTGAATCAAAGAGGAGTAAGTGTCAGAAAATAAAAGTTAACAAAAGCATAACATTATACTTTCTAGTTGCAAAATACACATTATACTTTCTAGTCAAATAATACAGAAGGCATTTATATTTTATCAACTGCATTAGAAAGATTAAGTAAACCTGCAAGGCATTCAGTTATTCATAATCATAACTTTATGTTATATATACAGCTATATATAGAAAAAGTATAGGTACATTTGGTTTTCTGTGACATACAAAATTCTCCACAAAATCTAGGATTATTTCTTTACAGAACTCTCATACCTATAAAATGTCCTCTCAGTTTCCTAAACCTCTTCCATCCATTTCCCCATCATTACTCAACTGAAGGACTGAAAAAAGTTCAAAAAACACAGCCAGACTTCCAGACTATATAGTCACCTACCTTCTGAAAGGAAAGCAGCTGTGGGCTGTAATCCATCCTGATAGTGCAGCTCTGCTCTCCAAGACTGTTCACGTGGTGTCAGCCAAGCGTGAGGAGGGCCTGTGTGTCAGTGGCATATGGTACCTCACCTGTTTCCAGAACCTAGAACTCGGTGACTGTGGGTGCACCGTGTGCTCCTCTTTCCATTTGATGGTTCCTTGCTGCTTAATAATAAACCTAAGAGATTCCTGAAGCTTCCCATAAGTCCCAATTGTCTCCATTTCCAGAAGGATCACCTTTGTGTCATTTTGAATGAGGGCATTGTATAAAGCAATGTGTTGATCAAAAGCATCTTCTTTAGAATTAATCAGGTGGTGTGTTAGCAGGATGATCAACCTTCTGCTCTTCTGCAACCTCGTCTCAATTGCACTGACTGCATCTAGCAATGTACAAGAAAAGGAAGAGACACTGATATTACTTTTAAAACTCTTTTGAGTTTGGAAACTCCATCTTCATTGCTTTGTAACCAGAAATAATTTCTATCTCACTTCAGTCTGATACAGTTTGTTTATTTGCAGAGAAATACTTTATTCCCTTACCCCCTTAAAAAGACAAAAAACAACAACCAACCAAAGGCAGTGGAACAGGGGGAGAGAAAAGCAAGAAGCCCAAAACAAAAAGCTTTCATTTCAAATGGGTTTTTTGGTTGAAACATTAATATATTCACTGATTTTAAGTATTTTTAGGAATTTATATTCCAGTGACCTAGGGTCAAGTTCAATAGATCTGACTGTATCAAAATTGTGTTTGATCAACAGTCTACAAGTAAGGAATTGTGTTGTACCAAGTTTAATGCCTTATAGATGATCTTGCAATACTTATCTATGAAAACTAGTCATTAGGAGACTTTTGGGTGACTTGCATCTAAGAGGCTTAATTCCAGGTGAGGTTAAATTACAGTGAATTGTCCTGAGTTGTCATGTGCTAATTTATACACTAGTCTGTGCATTGTGTTGGCCTTCACCCTGCAGAGGTAAATCCAGACTTTCAGGGCACCTGAGTGTTAGCATAAGAGAAGGTGTTTGAATTTCCCACTACCATGTTAGGGAGAGCTGGTCAGTGCTACTGTCACTGTAATTTTTGCTGGGCCAAAAGAGAGGAAGTGGGAGCACAGCTGAGGATATTCAACACACCAATTATTTAACAAACCAGCTGATTTATAGATGCATCAGCCAGATCCCTATGTACCCTCTTTTCCTTTGCTGGGGGCTGCCAGACCACTGCAAGTGGTGCAAGTTTTTGCCATTGACAGGTTTGTGAGCTACTGTAGCTCCTTGTGCTAGATCTGGGAATGGTCTGGCTCAACAATTTTGCAGCTTTTCTTTACCTTCATTTTCCCAAGGCCAGGCAGCCTTTTCACAACTTTTCAGAAGAGAAGGGTATCAAAGATCTCAGCCTCAGCTCAGGGCAGATGAATGACATCTGGCCCAATGCAGATGATTTCAGAAATGTGAAACAGAAAATGCACCAGCTTAGGCTTCATGCCTGCTCACCAACAGAGAGAGAAGATCCTCTGGAGGAGAGCAGATCGCACCTAGGTGGCAGCAATCATATGCAATAATGTGGAGGGTCTGGAAATTAACTCAATTTCATCCTGAAATACAAGAAAGTAGGACTAAAGCATACCAATTCTCTGCTGAGCTGATGCTGGGAATTGTAGGGAAAATAGAACATGTCAGTGAAAAGAAGCTGAACTTCTTGTGACTCTAACACCCTCATAAAAGGTTGAAAACTCCTGAGTGGTAACAGCAAAGGTGTTTTCTCAACTGAGTTTGTTGGTTTGGCTGAGCTTGCGGGTTTCTCCTCTTCCTTGTCAGCCAAGCCAGCTCACGCACGCTTTGGTTGTGGCTTTGCCCAGATAATGGCTGCTAATGGCTGTGCAGAATTAGACTTTCCAAAGAGACGTTTAAAAGAGTCAGGGTCATGTTTTCTGTGTATTCCAAGATGATAAGAAGTCTGTGCCCCTTCCTTGTAGCTTGCTTTTCCTATCACACTGGAAAGCACAGAGTGCCCTTGTGACACCTGGCCTGAAAGAGCAGACATCTAGATGGCTGCTGAGGAGACAAGCTTCAAGGTCAGGAATGAAGAGTGACCTCCTATACACCTAAAAGGGACTAGAATCACAATTTGCTCAATCTTGACAAGTAATTCAGCGCATTACCAGATCTGAAACTTACCTTCTCCAGGATATATATCTCTCCCATAAATACACAATGTATATCCACACTTATTTTCCAGAATATCTGGCATGATTTGGTAAACAAAATATTCCACAAAATTAGCTTCACTGGTGTGGTTTTTGGCGTAGATAACATACGCATCATATATCTTTCCATCTATAAGGCAAAACAAGAGGAAGGAGTATTGTGTTAATATGCATTAGAGCTGTCTATTGCAAAAAGTAGGAGAGAAATAAAAATATCAGTCACTGAAATAGATCTAAGAAGCAGTTCCAGCCACTCTGAATAACGTATATCATCTGGTGCATGTTTGGAAACTAAAGACTGTGCATATTTGGTGTTTTGCATGTTCAAGTGTTTTGTCCTGTGTGTTTGTAGCTTTAGAGAACCTGGCCTTTGTACTGTGAAGGTTGTATTCCAAAGTATATGCAGTAAGATTTCAACTGATCAATGCATATTAGCATGATACAGTGATGAAACTCAGCATTTGTTATTTCAGTGATACAATTCGCTACTAACAGGCTGTGTCTTCAGCACAAGATATTCCATTTAAATTCTTCCATCTTGAAGACTTTATTCATCATTCCTACAACATATCATATTCCTGAGTGAAAATCCCATTTCTTAGGAAACAATCTTCAAATCAGAACCAAATACAAAGTCAAGTATTTGTTTCATCCTTGCTTCATTTCTATAAATTAAGTTTTCCATTACAGCATTTTTATTCTAATCACAAATGTTTCTTTCTTTCTGGTGGAAATGGCTGTATCCTTTCTTTTGTTGCTGAGGTTCTTGCTCAAACCATTCTAACAATAGATCCTGTGAGGAGCAGCTGAGGCAGCTGGGGTTATCTAGCTTGAAGAATAGAAGGCTCATGTTTGAGCCTATTGCTCTCCATAATATCCCAAAAGAAGATTGTAGCCAGATAGCGGTTAGCCTCTTCTCTGAGGCAAGCAGTGACTGAACAAAAGGACACAGTGCTAAACTGGACTAGGAGAGGTTTAGGTTGGATGTTAGGAAGAATTTATTTGTAGAAAGGACAATAAGGCATTGGAATGAGCTGCCTAGGATTGTGTTGGAGTCACCACCCCTGGAAGTGTTTAAGGAAAGGCTGGAAATGGCACTGAATGTCATGGTCTAGCTGACATGGTGTTCGGGCATAGGTTGGACTCGATGATCACTACCTCATTGACTCTGTGAATCTGTGATTCTGTGATGGTGTAATAATAATGAAATGTCCATTTCCAGAGTCTAATTAATTTCATAATAAAATATACTTACATGGAAACTTTCCTTAAAAACATAGTTCTTTCCTCTTTAATGAGAAGTAACTAGATCAGCTGTAGATATCTAATATATCTTACACATCTGTGGTAAGAGTAAGCTTCAGATTTAAAAATTGTCCTTCTAGCTGGATTTGGTCTCTTAAAAACATGTACCTCCTCATGTCATTAGGCACTGTCTACCCTTCAGCTGCCCCCTGCAAAGGGGTTCAGTCTCACTGAAGCCCTAAGGCAGTCCCAACAGCACCAACTGCTTATGGTTAGACAGCTGGACCCAGCCACAGGTTTCGTGTCTAGGGTGGAAACTTGCATGTGTACACTTTCATTTCATACAACTAAATGTAGATGTCTGAATCTTGAGCTGAAGGCAACCAGTAAAGTTAGATGGGATGTATTCCTCCAGAAATGTCTTCCACACTATTGGTATTTTTCTTTTTGGCCTACAAAAACTGTTTTGCTCTAATACATGCTTTGAACACATTAGTTATCAGGTTTGTTCCTTTGCATTAGAGAGCACATAACAAGTAGAGTTAATAGCACTGTAAATCAGGTTTTCAATGTCATTTAAAAAACTACATTTAAAAAACTACAAAACTAGGACTAAATCTATTTTATGTAATTCAGTGCTACAAAACCCAGGAAACAAGGGAATATAAAGCATTTGCAGAGCTATGTATGACTTCTTTTTACTAAAAGTGTAAGAAAGAGAAGAATCAGGCTCAGGTATCATGGGTTAGCAACTATCAAATAAATTACTTTTTCTATGATTTGTCATTTTCTTTTTTTTAAAACTTTCTTTCTCAAATCTTACTTACCATCCTTGACTGAGTGGGGCTGGAATATCTCCCGATACAACAGAACAATATCAACTCGGAAGGACTGGTAAAGGATAACTGAGAGCGCTATTGCACCTAGCAAAACTAGAGATCCTGTGATCAGGAGGACATTAGGAAGAACCTCTGCAAGGTAGAGGAATATATTGTTAGCCACAGAGAAGTTAACCCATGTGCTGAAGCTTTAGGCTCATATCCTTACTTCTGACACAGCTTTCAGGAGCTCAAAACAGAGATGAGGAAGTTTTTTCCTTCCCTAGCTGGCATGGCCAACACATAGACCCCTTAACTAGAAACATATAATACAGTATATAGTTAATATTCACTTTGTTGAATCCTGACCTACTTATGCTAAAAACTACAGCTGACAATTATATTTATGTACCTTTTAGCTTTTAAAAACTGCTAATAACCATTTTGTGAGATATCTAAGCCTACACATGAAAATCCATAAAAGGACAAATGAAGGCTTCTGGCATGATTGCACAAATAGGATACAAAGAGCATGTGAAAGCAATGAAATCTGCAAGATAAGAACTAAGATAGCACTAGACAAGCAGGAAAACAGAACATGTACTGGTCACAGAAATAAAATAAACGATGCTGAAGTCAGATGATGTCCTCTCCTGCCTTTTCCTTTCAAGAGGGTCAAGGAGCATGTAATAACAATGATGAGTAAGAAAAATTGCGATAGAAAGGAGCCACCCACTTTAGTTCCAATTTCCATCATGGAAGAGCTCTAGAATTTATCCACCTTTACCTCAGAGATGAAGACTTATCATGATGCATAAAGTCTAGATATATGGAAAACATTTTTTACATTGAGGATGGTAAAACGCTGGAACAGATTGCCCAGTAAAACTGTGGATGCCCCATCCCTGGAAGTTCCAGAATAGCTTGGATGGGGTGCTGAGAGATTAGGTCTAGTGGAGGGTGTGCCTGAGAAATTCTGCTGAAAAGGTATATAAATGAAGAGTTTACAAATACATTTTCCCTTTCCCTCTGGAAAGGGAAAATGTGAGGTAAATTTAACAAGATTTCACACTCTTAACATTTCTTTCTTTGGCATTTAAAGGGAAAAATAAATGTTAGGTTTGTGATAAAGCATACTTCACCAGAACTAGATCAGGAGGAAACACCTTCCAATAAGATTGAGCAAGAAAACAACCAGTTCTTTCTAAAGTAAAGTTTGGCTATATTTTTAACTGTGTCACATGATGCATATGAAGGAAGCTCATCCTTAGTGATCACTTCAAATTTTAGTATTTGATCCATTTTCCTCGTCAATCCAGACAAAGTAAAGAAACCCCTTTCACTACCCAGAGGGGCTAATCCAAGCACCAGTTGTTTCTTACTGGTACGTTTGCTGACTTTGTGCTCATCATAACATTACAATTACTGGTGCATTGCATTAAATCTCTATAAAGATCTAGAGAAAAAATAAGTTCAAGTATCACCTTTGGCAATTTTGAACCTAAAAAATGCTGTGTATATTTGCACTGATTCAACCAAGGCCGGAAAAGAAGCGATGTGCTCATGCAGTTTGAAATGTGTCAGACGAGACCCCCACAGAGGTGTGTGTCTTCCTGGAAGAGCAGCTTCAATTACCAGTAATGCTAGTTTAGCCTCTTGTTTCTCTGGAATTAATTAATGAACATTCACTAATTTAATTGACTAGTAGACATTCAGTACAGTAGGGGCAAGTGCCACAAGCCCCTTTGACTTCACAGCATCATTTAGCAGCTGAGTTCATGAGTAAGCCATGTTCTATTTATGTTCAAGAGCAATGGGAATACAGAACTAACAGCTCACAAGGGCTAATATTGGAAAGGCCAGAGAAAAAATGCCAGAAAGCAACTTTTAAAGGAGTTCCAGACCAACTCCAGAAGAGCATCCAATTTTTTCTATCTTCTCTGGCATCTAAGGTGGATGCACTTACTTACAGTGAAGGCAGAGATCTGGGTCTAGAGTTCCTGTCCACATTAGTCTACAAAATATGAGCCAAAAGGTTAGCTTTTGCATTAAACATCTTTGAGGAAGAACAGAGATGATGCTTTGGGCTGTACTTTATCTCTGCTTTGAATGACTGTGTAAAATAAAAAAAAAAAAACATTAACAGGATAGTGTGCTGTGAGAAACACTAAGAAGCAATAATATATTTGGAATTTTTTTCCTATTAAATACAAACATACAAACAAAACAAAGAAAAAAAAGAAAGAAAAAGGAGTGTGCATATCTTTATTACACATTTACAAGATGAGAGGCACAAATGAATCCTATAGCATTTTTATTATTCTGAGAAACAAAGAGTGTCGTGGTTTGACACGGAAGGGAATTTTCTCAGGAAGTTGGTAGTCAAACCAATCAGTGTTACATTTGGATATTGGCACCTGGAGTAACCACTGAAGGCTGGACACACCTCTGAGAACACAGGGGGTTAAAAGCAAGAACTCCCAGGAGAACTGTCTCTTTGGTTCTGGTCATGGGAGGGAGCAGACACTCCCCTGCCCAGCCCTGGGCTGGGTGGTGGAGGGGAAGCCATGCGGCCTGGGGAGGTAGGACAGGGGGTGAAGGGTCTGGAACAGAGCTGGGCCAGCTCCTGTGGATGGAGGGGTGGAGGAAGGCTGAGATGCCTTTGTCCCCTCCCCCTGCCCCCAACCTAGAGGGAAAGAGAAACAGAGAGCCTGCAGACACCTGGAAGTTTGCCGGCAGAGCAGAAGGAGGGTGGAAGGTGCCCAGCATGAGAGATGGAGTCCTGGGCCGAGATTTCAGCCATCAGGGGAGTCCAGAACTTTTAACCCTTTCCTGGGAAATGAAGGCTTTGTGAAATATTACTCCTCAATTTGAAGGAAAGAGAGACAGCCTGGCACCTGGGATGTTAGGGAAAGAAGGTTGGGGGAAGATGATGGAGTGGCTTTTGGCTGGACTTTTCTTGTTAGCCATAGACTGAACCAATTTCTCCTCCAAGAAAGAGACTATATTTTAGGAGGATGCCAGTGAGCCAAGTGACCTGCTTCAGCAACTACCAGTGCAGGAATGAACAGAGGAAAGTTGAGGAGGGTGTGATGATACCCTCTGTCTTCAGGAGAATGAAGATCTCTGTTTTCACCCTCGGCCCCAGGGGAAGAAGAAAGTGGTGGGAACTGTGGTCCCAAAATGAGAAACTGTTGTTCCTGTTGGTCCTTTGCAAAGCACCCTTAAAAGAGCCCTCTGAGCGGTCTGTCCATGCACGGTGGTGAGAGCACTGTGACATGGAGAGGAAAGTGTCACACTGGCAGATTTTCTCTGCGCGGTGCCATGTGTGACATGGAAACACAAGAAGTGGCAATTGTGTTTCCTGGGGGTCTATGGTGCAAGGGAGACTCCTCTCTCCCCGGCGGACTGAGTATTTATTATATTGAAGGGTGATAACTTGATTAAGGGTCCTAATTGTGTTTCACTGTGGTTTGTTGAAGTTGGGTGGGGGGAGAAGGATTGTTTTGGAAGATTTTCATTTTGGATTTAGTGTGTGTTTTTTCTTTTTTTTTTCCCCTTTATCATGGTAGTAGTTTACTAAAGTTTTCTTTCCCTTTGTTACTAAGTTTGGACCTGCTCTGCTCTGTTCCGGATTGCATCTCACAGCATTTACCTGGGAAGGTGCATTTTCATGGGGGTGTTGGCATTGTGCCAGCATCAAACCATGACAAAGAGGCATTGCTTTAGCACAAATGTTGCTGAGCTGTGTGAGGACTGAGTGAAGAAGACTAAAGCAGAGCCCAGCCACTTCTGGAAATAGCATTGCTGACAGCAGCAGGGCTGAGGAGCAGAGGCAGACACCTTGTCAACAGCAGCAAGAAGGACAAGAACATAAAAAAGGTAGCAGTGAAAGCATGGTCACGGACAAGAGCTTTCATGATCATTTACTGAAGACCTATGAATAAAAAACAAGATTTGTCCATAACAGAAATGAGGCTCAATGACTCATGGGATGAATACAGGATATGCTATATGTTTTCCTTCATCTAGTCTGTAATATGGGGTCAACAAGGGACTGGCATTAATAAACTAGTGAGCAGAAACTGTTGCTCAGTTTCCTTCCCTCTCATTCCAAGCATACTCCCACAATCAGGTAGTTCAGTGCAGAGCTGGTGTGCTTCCAGCTTCCTGAGTGAAGCTGCACTCAAACTCACCTATCCAACCAAAACATCTCCTGCCATCTTCCTGCTGAGTGCTATTCTGCTGTTACAATTCTCCTACATCTCTTCTAGTCTAGGCTGCAGCAAGGAAATTTGTCTAGGTTTTGAATCCATGATCCTGTGGAAAGTCATGAGCAGCCAAGAATACAGCAGGACATGGGTCTGTGCAAACCCTGTGATCACAGTACACTTGATTTTACTCTTCCCACCACTCTTTTATAAAAAAACAATCCCTGTTAAAGATCTTGACATTTACTTTCAAAGTCCTCGAGAAAAGAGAGTAGTTTTAGATTACATATTAGGAAGAAATTCTTTCCTGTGAGGGTGATGAGGCACTGGAGCAGGTTGCCCAGAGAAGCTGTGGATGCCCCATCCCTGTAAGTGTTCAAGGCCAGGTTGGATGGAGCTCTGAGCAACTTAGTCTACTGAAAGGTGTTGCTGCCCTTGGCAGAGAGTTTAGAACTAAATGATCTTTAAGGTTCCTTCCAACACAAACCATTCTATGATGCCATGATTCTTCATGGTTTAGCATATCTGAAGGGATGAAAAAGGATACAATTGATCACAGCTACTTCTTGAGCCTTCACAGACAAAATAGCATTTTCTGCCATAGGAATCTGATTCAGAGGTGTTGGCAATAGTGCTTAGGGATCTGACTATCCCTATTAAAAAAAAAAAAAATCCTCTATGAACTAAGGACTGTCCCTATCCCCATCATTTACTGTCCTGGATTTTCCTTCTCTTTCAAGTACTACTAGAACCAGGAATTTTAAAACAAAACCAAGGCATAACCTCTGATAGTTACTCACACCTCTGTGTGGCACAGAGGGAACATAGTGACACTCAGAGAAGATAAAGATTTTGCAGAGGTGATTTGTGCAACATTCAGTCCAAAAAGGGCACTACAGTTGATGCAGTATAATAAGGAAGGCAAACAATCTGGCAAACCAGCAGCTCAAACACTTGTATTTAAAGTTTGCCTGTTTTCTACCACAGAAAACTATTGTCTAGAGAAAATAGTTTGGTTTGATTTGTCACAGTGGAAAAATATCTTAGAAATAGGATATTCTTGTCACACAGCTGAAACAGACACGCTCTGTAGTTCAACTCTTGCTGACACTGTTTGAATAATGTCCCCCTCTCTCCCCAGCCCCAAGGACAAGGACTCGGCCATGAGAATTTTACAACTGCCTGGAACATGTAGGGAAGAAGCAGGCTGGTTTTGCTTCTTATTAACTGAAACTCTTTTATTATCTGAAACAAATAATAAAATAAACTCACCAACATATTTCAAGGTAAGTGCAAATTGTAAAGAATCAAAATTTAAAAATCCTACCCTTATCTTGCACTTTGAGTTGTAATGTCACCGTGACTCTTGTGTTGTACATTATGTTCAGTGCTATACATGTGAAATTTGACTGCAGATCCTCCTTTTTTACTTCAGTAATATTCAAAATGCTCTCTTCATAGTATACTTGCGCATGTCCATCAAAACTAATATAAAGAGAAAGAGATGGTACCATTGGTTTTAATGGCTAGGCACAGTTTGCATAGAAGAAAGATTATTCTATGTTATGTCCACTTACAAATGAGTTTCTTCATGAAATCTTGAAAAAAAAAGGTTCTCCACTGGGATGTTATCCACATCCCATCTGACAGCAGCCAGTGGCTGTTTCTTAATCCCCAGGCGAGCCTGACATCTCAGAGACAGAGAAGCACCTAATCAAGATACAGAGATGTAAAAATTCCTTGATGAAAAACAAAGTTGTATTCTCCTCATAACATCTCTCTCTACAAATCTTCATACAACTTGTGAGTTTCATCACAATTTTAACATATATTTCTGAACTACTCCTGACAAAATGATACATAGAAGAGACAAAAAGAATTATTAACAGGAAATTTTCAGCAAACAATCTAATAACACACCAAGGATTACAAAAGGAATTACTTATATTTGCTATGATGGCGGCAATGTACCCTTTACTTGTGATGCTTGACACATATAATCAGCTAGTGAAGAACATAGAATGGATATGATGGTTGACACACAAATGTACAAAGAAATAGTCTAATTAAATTTCAGTATATATTATTTTGCATAAGACTTGTGTGCAGCCTTATCCTCGGATTTTATTCAAGCTGGACAAAAGTAAAGTAAGCCAGTCCAAGCAAAACTGAAACAGGAAAATATTTTTATTAAATATATCCCATTAGGAAATATTTAATCCAAAGTAGGGGTCACCACTGCACTGAAAGAAAGCATCATTCAAACATGTTAAATTGTTTCCACGTAAGTCTGAATCTAAGCAGGTCTTAGATAAGATTATTAAATCTTATGGTTAGATCACGATTTGGTATTAGGGAGCATGGAGAAATACCTTCATTTTTGCAAACAAGAGACAATACAACCAGTACAGCAATTGGGTTTCAAATGTAAAGTGAATTTTCTCTGTGTAACACTGCCACAGTGATAGGCAGAGACCACAGTGCACTAGGCACTGACCATCTTACTAGAGGAAGCTTGTTCTTGAGCATCTAATTTCTGAACAACTGGGGAAAGAGGAATAAAAGAACGTGAATGTCAGTCAACTAAATCTGGTAAATGGTGCAAAACTGTGACAAAAAGTTTCACTATTACATCTTGAAAATACCCATGTTTACTGTACCATTACAAAATGTTAATTTAAAAACAAATTAAAATTTGTACTCACCAAGCTCTGTCTCTACTACATCGTTATTCTTTGGAAATATGATTTGAGGTGGTAGAGGTGAGTATTTCACTTTATAAATCAAAGAGGAAAAGAAAGCATGCATTAACAAGCTGTGAAAATGCATTTTGTAATATAAGGCTTGTAATCTGTACAATTAATATTTTATGATCACAAAAGAGAATTGCAAACTAACAGTGTTTCACATCCTGTTGGGATCATCTGGTTTTATTCCAACAACCAAATATCTCTGAGGAGTATGTATATGTTATTAGTTTCAGTATTTTCTTCCCATCTATTTAATTTTTACCTTTGTATATAGAAAGTAAGGAAAAAAAAATAGGTTTTGAAGTACTGTTTTAGCTGCTGAGTGGGGGAAAAAAGCAAATGCTGTTATAGGCTTATAATTTCTCCACTGTTCTGAGGTTTTATTAAGAGACATTTGAGAAATTACTCATATCAATTATATTAAATAGCGAATATGTACTTTTATGCAGTATCTGAACTCCAAATATATGGCTTTCTAATCCTTTCTTCATTAAGCTTTTCCATCTCAAGGCACCTCTGTGAAACATGTATTTCCCAAAAAATTCTCTAGGAACACATTTCGGTTCCTGTTTCCCAGACTGACTGGATATGATAAAATAGAAGTCAGAAGAAAGCCAGTAGCTTCCCAGCTATCTGACTATGCTAAGTTCTTAGCTGCCAACAGTCAGAGGCAGAAACTCCTCTGGATCAGTATGGATCTGCAAGGCAACAGGAATATATATCATAACTCTCTAATACTAACAAAACAGAACAGCTCCAGTTGTCAGCATACCAATTTTAAGGTCTGATAAAAACTCAAAGTTGACATTAAGTACTTGGAATTTAGCAAAACCTGAAGCAGACATGCCAGACCCAGCCCAGATTTCACAGTTATGTTGTGATGTCTTCTTTCTGCAATTATTTTAAAAGGAAGTTAGATGATCTTCAAGATCTGTCTGGATGTAACAAAGGCCTTGTAAATTTGAATGCCTTGGGCCAAATAAAACCCAGAAATTTTTGTTGTAACCCAAGAAGTACATTCAAACAAAAATTGTTAGGCAGAGAAGTATCATGGAAAGCATGATTGTGATCATGTAGAGCAACAGGTAGAAAAGGAGGAAAAGCACATTTCCCAGCTGCTGAACTAGGTCTCTGCTCAATCTGTCCTGCTCAGAATAATCAGAATGAGCTCTGTTACTGAGATCTGAGCACGGCAGCAAAAGCTGCATCCAGGGCTCCTGCATTCTTCCCACAAGATATGAACCTTCCCAAAGCAAAAAGGCCTGATATTCACTCTGCAGATGGATGCTTTTAAAAAAAACCAAACTAACTAAACAGCAACAAAACAACCACATGAGCCAAACTCAAGATGTCCACCACCCCCCGAGAAAAGGTCTTTCTGACTGTTTTTCTACTGATCTGATAGCAGAAATGAAGTTGCATTTTGAAGTTTTGCAAGTTGATGCAATCTGAAGCTGTAAATTTCTGTGTGCCGTTTCCTGAACACCATCCAAATACAAAGCTTCCTTGAGGAGAATGCATCCTAGAGGCAACCCAAAGTCCACACATCTCAGTCATATTGGCTATGTTCAAAATCACAGACACATAGTAATGACTGAGATCCATACATTTTCTATTTATATATATATATATATATATATATATATATCGTCTTCATTTTGTCTCATTTAAGACGAATTTAAAAGTTTTTTCAGTCCTGCTATCAAATGAATGTACTAAGCTGTAGGTCCTCAACACATGACTGATCTAGTGAGCACCAGACAATCCTCATTAGCCACAGATTTTGCTGCACTCAAGAAATAGAAAGCAGAGCATTGTGGCATTCCACTGAGAAGATCCTTCATTTTGGAAATGTGCTACCAGAGAACTCTAACAACCACAGCACCCAACCAGAGTCATCAGAATCTTTTAAACAAAAAACTGAATGAGAACAGAGCAGACTACCCCATCTTGCTCTGTGTGGGTGACCAGCCACAAAATTAATCTAATAAAGCTGATGTAAATCTTAACTATGATAAAACAAACCAACCAAAACACTTTCTCTTTTTAATGTACAAAAGGAGTTTCCTTTGCTCTAAGTTGACATTAGTCTTTTAATCTTAGCAAGATACAGAATTACTGTCTTACCCCCACTTACGAAAATTCTTGTTGCTGATACATTAAACACATTTCCTTTATGGGTATAAATAAAGTGACATGTATAATAACCATCATCCTCCCTTCTTGGATTCTCAATATAAATATATTTCTCTTTTTTGAAGTATCTCTGTCCCTGAAGAGGTTTGCAGTCCTGGAAAAGAAAAATGTGTTTGGTTGCAAAGAGCTTTTTAGTATTCTGACCTACACTGGCACTATCAGGGTTTTATTTACCTTATACCACTGGACAATAGTAGCATTCTTATAGTTATCAATGGTAGGACAAACAATTTTTCCTCTTCCAGTGTCATTTGGGTAACGAATCGGACTTTGGAAACATTCTCCTGGCTTGTATGAATGCACTTGCACACTCACGTTGTATGACTTTGTGCGATTACTTGAACTTTCAAAATGGAATAAAGTATGTCAGTCAGTAATTGTATTTTTACATGGAATATATCAATGCTTATAACAAATGTGTGTCATTCTATAAACATGTGGATGATTATTATATTTCAGTTGTAGCTTGGTTTTAATGATCTGCCATAAAAATAGCAATTGCAGGCTGAAAACTTATGGAAAAAAAGTCATCATGTCCAAAAATTAAAATTAGAATATATTATCAAAATATATATTCTTGCCAGTCTTACATCTTCCACTTTCCATGTGGCACTTACAAATGTGTTACACAAGTGTAGTTTCCAGAATCCTCTCTAGAAGTTGGCAGAAACCAAAGAAATTTATCTATGGAAAATACTCGTGATCCCTCCTCTTCCGCAGGAATTATTTTGAGAGTATCCGTGTGATACCAGGTGATTTTCACAGGTGAATTCCACTTGGGACATTTTATAACTAAAGCCTCACCTTCCACAGGATCAACTGCAAAAGAACAAAAGATTAAATTCTCAGATAAATTAAAATTTTGTCTGCTGAGACAGAGAACTTGGCATTCTGACAGAGATCAGTAGGCCCAGAGATGAAACATAGCAAGCTTATTTTCACTAGACTGTTTTTCAATAAAGATTTTGTTTACCTTGAGTTATTAAGCAATTTGTTAACAAAAACAGTAACTAACATGGGGGGCACAAACAAACAAACAAACAAACAAATCTTGAGGTTCGAAGTGGGCATACAGTAAAAAACAAGAGGATTTAATTGAAAAATAGTGATTTCTTACAATGATCTTATTATGTAAATCTTTGCCTAAAATACTGCTTTTAATCAAAAAATTAATTAAAACAAAGAAAAATGCTGGCTTTAATGTAGTTATCTTTCCTTACTTCAGTGTAATGAATATTTATTTATGCAATAGGTATGTGCTTTTTTCCTGCCTTTTTAATACAGAGAAATGAAATTGATTTTTTTTTTGGAAGAAAAAAAATCACAGAAGAAGGAAGTCTGTAGATTAGATCCTTAGGAAATATAAAATAAAACCACAAAAAAACAGCTTATCTCTGAAGTTCATAAAAATGGGGTGGGGAAAAATGAAAGCAATGTGATAGCCTGAAAGGAAGAATCCGATGAGAAAGTGAGAAGGTGAAAAGATACAGAAACAACTAAAAAAAATAAGAAGCTTAGAAAAATAAACTACATGTGCTCACACATAAGAAAATCTGGGAGTAAGACACTAAACTTTTTTTTTTTTTTTTTAGCTGAGTATACTTCTGCTTTTGGGTACTGAAATTGGCCCAGAGAAACTAGAATCAAGCAATTTTGACAAATACTTAAGTGCTCAGGTACCTGAATATTGTACTGGCCACTGAAAACAAACATTAATCTGAAAGTTAAATTGCATTCTAAGAAGAAAAAGATGGGAGTATGAGCAAGGATGGTGACAGAACAAAGAGTGGTTTTTTTCATGCCTTTTTAATACAGAGAAATGAAACTGATTGAGATAGATTGGCAGAGGAGCTGCAGTAGGTAAGGGAGTGTGAAAATGAGAGTAGATAACCAAACAGCTAACCAAAACAGACAGTGCCTATCAGAAATTACACTTCCCAGTGGTGGCTTTAGACATGTAGGTGTACAAATCAGGAGTTGAGAGCCCCTACATGATGAACACTTCTGCCCTGGTTCTTTCTAAAGAAGTGGTCAATCTCCACTGATATTGTCATTTTGCTTATTAATTTGGGGCTCCTAAATTAGCCAAGTATGAGTATGAGTAACCCCAACCACATCATTTAACAGTTTTCCCACACACAAGTCTTGCAAAGACACTGGGACATATCAAGGGGGTCAGAAAAGGCAACATTGCTCCATCAAAGATGGAACACATTGAAAATACAGATTTCTTCAATGAAAAATAGTGTGGAGAGAGAAGACATTGAAAAAGAAAAGCCTCATCTAAACTCAATGACATCTGTGAAAATCATCTCAGCAAATTCTTCAGCAGAATTTGGCATCTTAAATCTAATTTGCTTGAACTTTAGCATTCCTATTGTAAAATTGAGAATATGAAGAAATATTTAGAGATCATATCTTAGAGAATTTTTCAGACAAATAAGCATCTCAGCTCGAGAATAGAAGTACGTGAGTGCTGTGCAACACTGTGTCACTGCTCAGCATTGAATGGCTGAGTCAGTAGAGCTGGCCCATCAGAAATAGTTTACCGCTCTGGACATTCTCCCTGTGCAGGGAAAAATTATTGTTACACCCCCAAATCCAGGACATTAAAGAGCATTTCTGTAGAGGACAGCACCCATTTACAGCCCTGATTCAGCAGGGTGCATATGCATACACGCTACTCAGTGCAGTTAAAACATGCTCTTGGAGTTTGTGCCCAGCTGGGACCTGGAGCACCAGCTACTCTCAAATTCTTTCAAGACCCTTTTCTTTCTGCTTGCAGAGGTGTCAAGTGGCAGACGTTGAACCTAGTCTTGCTGCCATAGAAATAGATAGTGTTTGGTGCATTTTAATATACATTAAAATCTAGATTTTAAGTTATGATTTCTGGCTTGAGGTGAACTCTCTATCTTTAGGCTTAAAAATAAAACCACCAATTTGGAAACAGCCTTCAGATGTGTACAGAACAAATCTTATCAGAAAGTATTTTTAAAACATGACTTACATGTTTCAGATGTCATGGAAACCGAGAGGAAGGTAGACAGGAGGATCAAATCTATATGCCCCATCATATTTCTAAACTAAGAAGAAAAACATCGATATCTTAGAATATACTCTGACTGCATCAGCAATGTATCATTGTACATCAGAAAATTGAAGAGAAAATGTTATCATGCAGTGATAAACTGTATCATGTGAGCTGTTCTGTAAAATGTGTGTACCTAGCAGCAGTTTTGCAGCTTTGAGGTGATGTTATTTGTTCTATCATAATTGAAACTATAGTTATGACTTAGTTTAGTGGGAGTCAGGGAATTACTCTCTCATGATGCTCCTCAGGCAGAAGCCTCTTTCAACTTGCTTGCTTTTTTTTTTAAAGGAAGATAAATGTACATTGGCATTCTCTTCACAGTCAAGTGCAGAGAAACTGTTCCCCAGCTTGGAAAAGGACAGATCCTGGGTTTGAAAATGTACACCCTGGTTTTGAATTAAGGTTACATCCAATCAATTGTTTAGATGCAAAATACTTTTTACATGTATTTTTATAAAAGAGGAGCTCTCTTCAGTGACAGCTTCTCTAAGTAAGTGTTAGGCATTAAGATCAAAACCAGGTGAGTGTCATAAACAATTCTAAGCTGAAGGAGAACTGAAGAAATGAACTGGAAAGGTAGGTAAAGGAGCATAATATTGTACTTAGCTAACAGCAGCAGGGCAGGTCCTGTATCCCACTGATGTTTTTACTTGTGTCTGATACGCACCAGCTGTAATTGATACCACATGGTGTGGCTCAAGAACTCTCCAGCAAACCCCTGTATTTAAAAAACCTGACCATTTGATCAGGGGCATTAAGATGACCTAATCCAGGAATATCTCAGGAGACAGCAGGCATGCAATCCTGTATGCATCCTACTTACCATGACAAAGCCTTGAATGCAGTTCTTCACTGCAGATCACAGAGCAGTCGGTTCTTCGGGTGTGTGTGAGTAAGCAGCAGTCACAGAGTCCTACAGAAAATAGACAAGTTGTTTTCAAGAGAAAATAAGTCAGAAAGGAAATATAATTTATCTTAAAGATAGTGAGCACAAGGGGAGTAGTAAAAACAGGCAAGAAATGTTAAGTACTGTCGTCACACTTACTGCAAGGAATTTTTATTTCAGTGCCAAAAACTTCCAGACTAAATAAACATTGACAAGAGTTATCAAGCTCTATGTTTTTGCCAAGTCTGAAATTCAGAGCAAACTCAGTTTTGAGCTTTCAGAAATATTATCAGCTTTGTATTGATATGGAAAGTTTCTTCTTTTAGAAGGTTTAATAATATCCAGAGGGTTATTCTTAATCTCTGAAAAAACAATAATAAAACAGTGTTAGAAAAGTGTGAGAATTTCATTGTAGGTATATCCACATTTCATTGCGGGGATATTCACAAATCATAGGAAAAATGAGGTTTAGACCAAAAAATGCAGCATCTCAGCGTTAATGTCCCCTCAAAAACTGATGCCATGCCTTTTACAGGAAGTGAGTGACCAGTCAGGAGAAACATTATTTATGAGACTCTACTTGCTTTCATTATTGCTGGAGAAAAGCACCACATGTAAGTGCAAATCCACTGACTTCTTTAATTTTAAAAAAACCTTAGGCCAACTGAGGAGATTTTTAGAGGGTACCTTTCAACACTAACATCAAGAGTTTTGCCCTGGAAGGAATGAACAAGGTGGTCCAGAACAGGGGTTATGAGTGACCTAGGACTGGACAGACCCTTAGGAGAAAAAGACATGTCACAAAATGGCACAATGAAATTCACAACATCAGCACAGCAAAGCATTCAGCTTTGTTCATCATTTAGAGCATGAGGCTTGTTCCTAGAATCATTTCTAACACTATCAGGGAGCAAAAATATACAGAATATACCTTCTCTACTGGGAGGCTTTTTATTGCCGAAGTCTTTGGTTTTGTTCCAACAACTTATTTGCCCCTGACAAGGTCTGCCAGCAGTTATATTAACCGCCCTTTTATTTTTTAGAGCTATCTTGTTTAAGTGAGTGATACCTCAGCAAGATGACAAAAACTAAACTGATTGATTTTTAAAGAAAAATAATTTCATAGACTAAGTCTGGAGTCTTTCTAAAATGAGGGGGTTTTCTCATTTGATATTTTATTTGTAAGAGTTTATTAGGAATTTAGCCACAAGTAATACCACTGTTGGAAACTCTGGCAAGTCCCTTATTGCCAGTGCTATTGCAGCCCTAGAAATGGAAGGCTGGTGATTATCAGAAAGTAGCAAGGAGATGTGCTTTCACCATTTTTAAGATACAGCTTTGTCCAGGAAGGGAGACAGCCAATTACTTGCCCTCACCAACTTTTCTAACAAGTGCCAGAATTATTCAGGAGTAAGAAATTCATAATTTCCTATCTCCATACTTGCCAGTTGTTGCAGTTAGCCTTCTGTTTACTGAAAAAATATATCTGACAGACCTTACACATACTGGGCTACCAGCCTGCACCAAAAGAATGCAGAATATTTAAGCTGAGATGCTTCCCACAAATTTGATGATTGCTTTATTGAATTTCCCTCCATTTTTAAGTTGCTGTGTACCACCAGCAGTTCAAGTAGGGTACGGGTGATGTGTGTGTGAATATGTACAATATAGAGGGCTCTAATAAAAGAGGAATATTCCCTGAAAATTCAAAGAGCTCATGCAATTAAAGAAGCAACATGGTTCTGTTTGAATTTTCTGAAGTCAGCAGTAAACACCAAACTACCTCAATATGAACTCAAACAGAGGTTGCAGGTATAGACAGAAAACAGCAAGAGAAGGACAGGCTCTGCAGTGCCATACAGCTCCTTCCTATAGCTACACATGGCAGGAGTGTAAGCCTAAGCTCTGTAAACAAGAACTTCAGTGTGGTGCTGAAAAAGCACTAGATCCAAAATTTGGGACAATTAGCTGAGTAGGTCAAAGCCTAATTCCTAATGATCCAAAGGAAGGTGAGAGAAGGGGGAACCCACTGTGTATATTGCAGAAGCAGTGGTCCTTGGGGCTTAACTCCTTACTTCTCTGAAGGCAACTGTGTTAAAAACATATTTCTGCTTTTCTTTCCAAAATTCTATTTTCCAACAAGATGTTTATAATACTGTTTATATAAGTGACAAAATTACCTAGCATACTAACAAAACCTGGAAATAGTATTGCAATTTCTACCCAAAAAACTTAACAGACTCTACAATGTAAGTATACCACAAAAGAGCAGGCTTGTGAATTTTTTTTTACAGATATATACATCCATACACCTTTTGGAAGTGATTTTCATTCTTCTATCAAACCAGAAAATGCATTCTGACTAAAAATGTCCTGTTAAAATTGCAACAGCAAAACTCAACTTCCCAAACCTAGCATTCACAAGAGTTAACAATTACACGTTACAGGTGTTAAGTATAAAATTTAGGAATTTCAGCATTAAAGCATAGCACTTCTAGAATTGACACACGCATTATTCTTAAAAAATATTTTTAAACAAAAAATACATAAATATGCTAAACTCTGGAAAATCAATTGTGGAGTGAAGCTTTTTACTAATTAGTCAAATTAGTAAAAATATATACAAGGAAACTGATGGCAAAATCCATTTCTAAATACACTTCACTACAAGGTAAATTTTTATGTTAGTCACGACACTATTTGAACTGAAATAAACTTTCTTATAAAATACTTCTATTATTTCTGGTTAAATGACAATATAAAAATTTGACCTACCATATGGAAAAATCAAAAAGAATACAAGTGGCTTGTTCTCTGTCGATGTGTCTTATCTTGTACCAGATATTACTGTGAGCTCCTTTTATCTGGCTTCAGCAGTTCCTATCTGTAGCAACAAGATACACAGCTTAATTCTGAGACACCTCCCACTCAACAGAGCAAAACATGCAAATTACTGTAGCAATTTACTTTAAGTACCTATAACAGCATCTTATAGTTCTAATTAATCAGATACTTTTACCACTAGCACAGGTTTTCCTTTATTGCAAATTATTTCTTTTTAGCAAAGTTATAGTAAAATAAATCTGCTGGCTGGGGAGCACAGAGAGGAGACATTCAGATGGCAGAAGGCACTTTGAAACAGATTCTGCTTGAAAACAAGTAACAGCTTTGCGTGGTCTAGTCCAGCAGCAGCTCCCCGAGAACAGCTTGAAAAGTCTCTGGAGAATCAGGAACAGTTTTTAATGCAGGAAACTGTTTCACTGAAGCTAAGCTGATCAAAGAAGATGCTGAAAAAACAGTTATCTGCACCAAGATCTAAATTAAGTCTGTGATGGAAATATTTTATCCGATGGTCATTCAAACATTTGTTTCCCTTCCCTGGCAGTGTTGTGAATTCTATCTGTTCCTGCCAGTGTTCCTGGGACTCTACTGTCAGCATGCAACAACTCCACATCAATACACAAAGATATACCAATTTTGTGCCAGTGTGCAAAAACCTTACCTATATCACACCCATGGTCTCCCCAGCTCTTGGTATTATATTTCCTTTGAAGTGATCCATGGGGTTGTAATTACCATGTGACATAAAAAAAAAAAAAAAAAAAAAAAAAAAAAAAAAAAAAAAAAAAAAAAAAAAAAAAAAAAAAAAAAAAAAAGGAGCTAAAAAAATAAGCAGACCAACCTGCAACAATGAAATCTCAAAATGTTTTGGTCAAACAGTTCAGACTTCTACCTTCGAAAGCTCACAAATTACTCCCTGCTCAAGTTTGTGAGGTTTCATCAGAATCAAGGTCTTTCTCATTTCCTGGTGTAAGACACTTTGGTGAAAATTCTGGAGTAACCATCTGCATTCAGTGGTTGGTTCAATATCCTCTAACCACAACAAGTCATTTTCATCTAGGAAAGGGTTAAATATATTCAGGTAAAGCTAACTTCATTTTTCTAGGCACATAAAAGGTTGTTCTATGACAAAGTCCACTGAAACTTAGACCAGAGGTGCTCATAGTGTTGCTCATACCTCAGAAGAGCCCTTAAACCTGTAGTCTGTTCCCAATGCCCAGCTTGTTCCCAGATCATGGTGCCGATGGGAAACAGCTCCTGGCTAAAGAGGATAGTTGTTAGCTGAACAAAAGCCATTCTGTAGCTTTCATAAGAAACTAAAATCAATGCTGAATGCCTTGCAACTTAGGGCCCATCTTCTAAAACAAAATCCTACTGATAAATTTATGGAAAAAAGAGATTACAGAAATACCTCAAGAGATTTCTTTGAGGGGTTAATTGCTCCCTTGGCAGCCTGTATGCATAGCACTACAGCAAGCAAGCGAATCATCTGTTCTTGAAGCAAAGAGATCAAGAAGTAATAGCTTTGAACAAAAGCAGGGAATAGTTAAGCATGACTGCAGAAAAATCTTTTAAAAGGTAATGTAGCGAAACACTAGAAATTTGCTGGGAAACTAGTGGAGCTGCCATTCAGTGTTAAAGAACAATTTAGTATTGGTATCACAAAGAATGCAGCTGGCCCCACAGGTCCTTACCAGTACTAGGAGTCAATGATCCAGAGATTCAACCATCAGTGATTCACTGACTGTTTTGGCACAGCACGAGTATATGAACTTAAATGTGTTGGCAAAATTATTCCTGTGAAAAATATGCAAGCTAAAGCCACACAAGATACAAAGCCTGAAAACCCAGACTGAATTAAGTTACTGACCTCTTAAGAGTTAGGAGTTCAAGCAAGAGGAAAAACAATGAGATTGAAAAAAGATAAAGTCCTGAGATAAAAAACAGAGATAAGAAAACAGAAACTCAGCACCCTCAGAGTTCACTTTGCTCCAAGAAGCAGTGCTTAGCCTAGCAGCACATTAGCCTCGCTTGCCTAATACCTGACTCTGTTAGCCAGGAAACATTTGCTGGGTACAGTTTCCGCACCTCGCCTGCAGGCTGTCAGTGGACACAGTAGGGAAACATTCAGACAGAAGTGACCTTACCAGGAATGGTTTCACTATGTGCATTTACTGAGGCCAGCCCAGGGGGCTCTGATGGAATTGGCAAACGGTGGGATGGCAGGGGACGCTGTTGTTGGGTGTGCCCACACCTGTGTCAGGTCGAATGTGTTTTGGCTGGTGGGGATCCAGCCTGCTGAGGTTGCAGTGTTCTTCCTGTTCATGTGTGACAAGGTCCGCTTCTTGTGGGTAGCAAAGGCATCTCATGTTTTCTGTAAAAGGGAAATTAGAAAGATTTTTCAAGGTTTGTAGTATTCTAATAGAGCTGGACTGTTTCCAAGGAAAAGGTTTCCCCTGGCCTTTATCATTGGTCATGCAGCCCTAGTACCACTTACATTGTGGGTGATAGAGGGGCTTGTCTCCAAATAGCTCTGATGGTTCCTTTCACTGAGAAGCTTGAGACAGTTACCCCGAGAAGACACTGTTGGTGGATACATTCTTAACCAGAGTGTATTGCTTTCGGCAAAACTTGGGAGGGTACAGAGGTGACTTCTGTGAGAAGACACCCAGAGCTGCCCCAATGTTGAACAGAACCAGTTCCATCCAGCTCCCAGAGAGACCCACGCTGGCCACAGCTGAGCTCGTCTGCAACATTGGTAGGTACTCTATGGAAACATATTTAAGAAAAGGAAAAAAACTGCTTCACAGCAACTGTGAGTAAGGGCTGAGACAACCCTGCAATGAACAAGGAAAGGAGGTGCTCCAAGTGCTGGAGCAAAGATTCCCTTTCAGACCATGGGTGTGGTAGTTGGTTTTTTACAGTTTGATTTGTTGCAATAGTTTCTCCTGAGTTGATTTGTTTAGGTATTTTCATTCTAAGTTTGCAACAGTGTGTTCCAGGTACCCTGTTCTGCTCCCCAGATGGTTTGTCCCTGAAGTTGTTTACCTCAGTTTTTCCCACCAGTTGAAATATCAATCCCCATTCCAATCTCCCTGTCTCCTTATTTGTCCCTAAAGTGATAGCCCTGTCCCCTGTCTGTCAAGAGAATGTACACCCCTTGTTCTAGAATCTTCCCTGTCCATCATCCTTGTCTCAGTAATCTCTTAGCAAGTCAAGCCTCCCCATCCTATACTTCCCATCCTATCCCCCACTGGCTAATCCTTACCCGATATTCCTCCCATGCTCTTTGGCCATTGGCCAGGAGCTGTATCCTCCCCCTGATCCTCCTCTCCTTAAAAGCAGCTGTTCTCCCCTTTAACCCTGGTCATTTGTCCCTGGATCCCCCTTGAGAATAAAGCCTCTCAGAGCCCAAACAAGCAGCCCCTCTGGCTTCCTTTGCCCCAAATCCTCGGTGCAGGGCCTTGCCTGCTCAGCTGCCGCAGGGTCTGTGTGCCTCTGTGTGCACCATCACCCAGAGATTTGGGGGCGGCCACTCCTGACATGATCCTAAAGGGTGTGGGCTAGCCAGAGAAAACCACCCTAGCAACAGGACCGTATCACATGGGGAAAGTCATGATGACACGGCTTGTCCTCCTGAAGCCCATGGAGGATGCCAGAGTGGAGCAGGTGGATGTGACCTGAAGGAAGCTGTAGTCATAGAGAATCCATGCTGGAGCAGGTTCCTGGCAGGAGCTGAGGCCACAGGGGAGCCATTTAAGAGGAGGTTTTCCAGAAGGTGAGACTCACTGGAGCAGTCTGTTCCAGAGGCCTGCAGCCCCTGTAAAGACCCACACTAGAGCTGTTGGTGAAGAACTCTAACCCATGGGAAGCCCCACGCTGGAGAAGTTTGTCAAGTGTCTCAAAAGAGAGGGACACCCCCTTTGCAACAGGGGAATAGTGTGAGGAGGAAGAAGGAATGCAGGAAGTTCATAAAAAAATGTTATTAACTGACCACAACCCCTGTTCTCCATTCCCCCATGTCACTCAGGAGGAAGAGGTAAGACACTTGGAAGTCAAATTGAGCCTGGGAAGAAGGGAGGGGTTGGGAGAGGATGGGATTAGTTTGGGGTTTTTTCTCACCATCCTATTCTGTTAATAATTGGCAAATTAAAATAATTTCCCCAAGTTGAGTCTGATTTGCCTTTGGTGGTAATTGATAAGTCATCCACCTATCCTTTTCTCAACCTATGGATTTTTTTCAATATTTCCTTCCCCTATCCTATTGAGAGGGGAATAGAGCAGCTTGGTGGGACCATGGTGGCCAGGCAAGGTTAACTGGCATGACAGGCTCCCACACAGCAGTAAGTGAGGGCATGCATGTAGACAGCAAAGGATTAACAAGAAGAATTTAAGTTTTTTACCCTAACCATCAGGGTATTTTTATCCTACTCATCTCACTCCTTCATCCCACCAAGCCAGAAACAGTAAGTATCATATGAAGTTTTCAAATACACTGTAGATGCCAGATAATGTATTACAGTTCAGAGGATGTGAAATAGAGGTGACTATCTTGATGGAAGTAATTGGCTAAAGCAATCATATCACAGAATCATATTTGTGCTTTTTTTTATGTGGAGGGCAAATAGTTCCTTCCTTTGGCTTGCACATTGATACATTACTTGATAAGCTATTTGATCACCAGCAGTTTATAAAAGATCTAACAATGCAGTTATGCTTGTCAGGCCAAGGACAGTATTCAAACAAAAACCATAATATCACTAAAAAAGCCTTTGTATCTTAAAACCAGTTTCCTTTTCTAAAGAAATTCTAAATTTCTCTGCCTCATGCCTTGCCCCAAAACGAAAGCAGCTGCACTGTCATCCCACAGGGTCTGGATACAGCAGCCAAAATGAAAACAACAGCAGCTGTTCTGAGTGTCTGAATGTCACCAGGCCACCAGCAGGATCCCCATGGGAAGACCACAAACCCTACCACAGAAAGGATCTGTGCAGCACATCTGTTGCTCTTATGGAAATTTGAAACACTTTGCTGAGGCTCCAGAATCTTCCATTCCCACAGGTGGTTCTGTCCTTAGATGCCAGAACGCCTTACAATACAGAGGTGATGATGAGTCTGAACAGACAATTATCTTTGGGCAAGAAGCCTATCCTAAGTTTATAACACAAAAGCCTATCCTAAGTTTATACACGACTCTGAAGTAATCATCATTCTTGTGTCCAAATAGCTTCAGGGATGAAACAAGATGTCCATAAGTGAAATCTTCAAAAGTTTAAGTTAAAGAGGCCAGCTCTTGGTGCAGCATCATAGACTTATTCCAGACCTCCCGGGTCCTCACAGCCAACATTCCCCTCTGAGCACATGGGAAGTTAATTTCCTTCCATGCATCACCCACTCCATTTTTCTTTGCTGTGGAAACAATTAATCAGCACATCTTTGTTGTTCCTATCTGACCTCATTCCTGAGAACAAAGAGGTTCTTTCTACACAATTTCTTAGGTAGACATATCTACAAATATGTGGAATTCTGGAAATTGTAACTTGGATGATAAGACACAATTGTTATTGATTTACACAACTAAAATGGATTTCAATTCTCTGGAAAGTTAATGAAGATAATTTGTTGACAAATTATATTGTTTATAAGGATATCTTACTAAATAGCCTCATTTGTTCCTTAATGTATATGAATTACTGGAAGTTGATGTCTTACTGGGAGAAGAGGGTCATGACATACTGACAGCATGTGAAAGCAGAGTTTCCATTATTAAAAAAAAATTACGATACCACTACTTAGGAATTTTTTTTTTCTCTAGGTTATGGTCTGGGTTTTTGGAAGAACTGTTTTTCTCTTTAATATTATCTAATTGCATTTATCAGATCTGGCTGCCACTTAGAGTTTGCATTCCCTGAAAGTTTAAAGTATTTTGGAAGAAAAAACTAAGCTTCTCATAAAAATGAAATATTGCCCGAGTAATTTTTTTCTATAATAAAAAACCCAGCATATTTGTTAGTTTTTCTATAGTGGAAGCACCAGGCATCCAAACACCAAGGACTCCTCTGCTAGAGTTCAAAAATCCTTAGAACACGTAATTCTTAGAACTTAGAGCACCTGTCAAAACAGGGAGGGCTATGAACCTGAAAACTTTCTCTGGGCCTGGCTCTTGGCAGCTATTCACATGGAAATTAGA